ACCCCAAAACCCCAAAACCCCAAAACCACAAAAGTAGATATTTATGAGTTTGAATGATTGTTGAATTTCAAAATTTGAATTATAATTATTTCTATAGATGGCAGACAGTAAAAGTCTTTAGCGTAAAAAGTAAAAGCAACCCCAATAAAATATGAATATAATACATGCACACTCAAATATTCACTCTAAAATGAACAATTAAGCAGGTCTCAAAGGTCAGCTAAATCTCACACTCTAGTAAAAAGTTTTAAACATAGATAATGATATCATGAGTCATAAAAAAGAGCTAATGTCATATCGAGATTTCACGCAAGAAAATACTAAATAAATAACTCATAGATTATAGTAAAAAGAAAACAAAATGTTCAATACCATTTAAGAACAGGAAAAATCAACTACAAGATTGCATAAGAAAATTAATACTCCATTAGTCAATGATACCAAAAAATAAAAATAGTAAATCTAAACTACAATTTTATCTAGCAAGAGCTCAAGCAATAAATCATAACTCTTCAGAGATAAATCTAACAACAAAGTAAGTAAACGATAGAAATCTAAAAAGAAGACAGTGTATGATTACGAAGAGGATGATTCAATTGACTCAGTAGTCCTACTAAATAAGTCATAATTCGATAAGTCTAAAATAGATAAATCCTATATGACTCTTGATATAACGCAAAATTAAAGTTAGATCTATTTTGTGGGCTAAAATAAGAGTACTGAGAAAATTAGAGACTAAAGAGTATAGATTAATAAGAATATAAGTAAATCAAACAGTAATAATCGCTTCATTGATACTCAAAGAAAATAAATAGATTTTTATAAAAGCAAATTAACTAATTTCATACTAGACAAAGTTATTCAATAAAGCACATCAAAAATTCAAAATGTAATTTTCTCAATGCAAATGAGATAAGCTTTCAGTAAAGTTCGAGGATATGCAAAAGAATAAAAGCATAAGCAATAGAGAGAGGAAAAGAGATTTAAAACAATCAAATTAAAAATGAATGAGGAGTCTTATAATAATTATCTCATGCAATCATAGATTTTTTCTCCATAAAATGACACACTATCTTAGTCAATACTTAAAAATGTGAATCGAACCTAAACTTTTTAATAAAGACCAAGGAAATAAGTTTAATTTCCTTAAGATAAACAAACTCTAAGAAAAATATTTTATGGATGGAAGAATTTATATAGAACTTAAAAAAAATAGAGGAAGCAAAGAGAAATGAGACTTAAAGTTGCTGTAGGCTAGCTGATTGATGATAGATAATTCAATTTGATGAATAAGGTGTTTTGGACATTAAAGATTTTTAAGGACTAGAATTTTATAATGAGAAATCTCAAAGATAGCAGTATTCGGTTTAGGAACTATAATCTGCTTAAAAAAGCTATCACTAATTTAAAGAAGTATGTTATTTATGTAATTAAAGAATATAGAGTGACTCTAAATCTAAAGCCGCTAAGAGCAGTATTCAAAAGATTCAAGAAATTGTGGTCTTTGAAAAAATCAGCTCTTAAAGTCTTGAAACTTAGACGAAAAAGAAATTTACCTCATGTGTTTGAAGCCTGGTACAAGTTAGTTGCCTCTGGCGACCACGTGAATTATGAGTGCGCTCGCATTCACTATTAGGGTAAACTTATGAATAAGGTTTTCAGCATACTTACATTCCAAATGAGGAAATTAGCCTACTGGAATCAAAGAAAGTAATACATGATAGCAATCAAAATTCTAAGAGCATGGAGAAATCGAACATAATAAAATAGAGGATAGCAAGAATTTGTAAATCTAAGAATAATGAGGTTGAAGTATAAGTACTTTTAGATCATGAAAACAGTGTTGCAGAAAGAAATGGTGGATATAGATATTAATATGCAGAGTAGATACTTCAGAATGATCAAACTTCAGCATAAGGGTTTCTTCGCTCTGAAATCAAACCTTTACATAAAATTATTTTAGAATGAAAGATCTTACAGATTAATTATGAAGTCCTTCAAAATTCTGAAAAAGTACTATATCAAATCTGTCAGAATAGATCATAAGCTTAATCAAATGGCTGATGAATAATAAAAGCGTTTTAACCTGATGATTTTTATTCGTAGACTGAATGAGATGTAGGATATTAGAGATTAAAGGGCATCGCTTAAGTTTGGGTCTGTTGTTAACTTTCAATAGCAACAATAGCAGTTCTTGTAGCAATAGTAAAAATAGCAGTAGCAGAGTTACTATCAAACTACAAATGATGAGAATTAACTCCATCCTAATACCTAGAGATCTTAATACCAAAATCAAAGTCAAATTAGCTAAAAAAGTTTTGATTACAACAGCAATCATTAGCAGCAGAGTCACAGATAGAGCAAATAAAATATCACTAGAGATCACAGTGATTAATCTAGGCTATCTTAAGGAAAACAGAACTTTTCATACCTGTAATCAAGCCACTCATCGAAGAAGAATATTTTCTTGACTTAAACACAAAACTTTAGCAACCAGATTAAATACTACCCACAAATTTAAATTGAGGAGGAAAACAGGCCTCTACAAGTCCAAAGCATGTTCACACCATCTAATAATTAAAACTAAAACTATATTGAATGCTAGGAGTTAACTATGACAAACCCTACAATAATGATGCAGCAAGATTCGGTAGATCATTACGACGAGGATGCCATTCATCATAACTCTTAAACTAAATATTACGAAAGGGAAGAGCCTTAGATAATTTCACATCACAGTATTGATTAACAGTCTGTTGGGGAAGAAGAATGCGATGATATTGATTAAACTCTTTAACAAGAAGAACTTGAAGAGAATGAAGAGTTAGACTACAATAGTCAATAATTTAATCAAATCGAAAACAATACCATGTCTACTTACAATCCTGCATCTTTTAGAAATTTAAATGCAAACAGTTAGTTCATTATTAAGAACATGAGATACATCTTTACCTTGAAGCTCAAGAAAAAAATCTTTGATAATATACTAATCTTCTATTACTATAGCAAGGACAAGAAAAAACTTGACCATAGACTATTTGCCTTTAATAATAGACAAGTGTAAATTATTCCATATAAATTTAACTATCTTTAGTGTAAAGAGAGCATTTAAAGCCTTGGCAATGAATTATGCGGATGCTTAGGAAGAGGAATTAAGATTTGAATCACAGAGAGTATTGAGAGAAACCAATCCTATAATGGACTCAAGAAGGTAGACTAATCACATTAAGGAAGAAGACTAGTAAGAGCAGAGGATGAGCAAGTTGAATCTCTTAAGCAAAAAGATTTTCAAGGAAGATTTGGATTTATCTAGCATAATGGTTGATAAGAGTAAGACCCAATCCATTTTAAGAATATCACATCTCAGATGATTATAGCTGAAGTATGATTAATTAAACACAATCTTAATTGATTTATTTCATAACACTAATTTATCATTAAGAATGTAAATGATGGGGTTTTGGGGTTTTGGGGTTTTGGGG